TTGTCTGTTACTTACTACAGACCACTGACACTGAACACAACACTACAAAAGTTGCAAAATAACATTTTGTGAATTTGTGTCTATTTGCCTGCAGGAGGGGGACTTGACCCCTTTTCCAATAATAATAATAATAATAATAATAATAATAATAATAATAATAATAATATAGTTATCTTCTTGACTCTCCACGCAGAGCTCTTCACAGGTCAGGGGGATCCCCTCCACCCCCACCAGTGTGTCCCCCCACCTGGATGAAGCTCCAGTCTGCTCACACACAGCAGCTCTCAGTGGGGAGGAGAGCAGAGTGATGGAGCCAGTTCAGAGAGGGGGGTTATTAGGAGGCCATGATGGGTAAAGACCAGGGGGAAATTTGGCCAGGACCCCGGGGTGACACCCCTACTCTTTTCGAGAGACGCCCTGGGATTTTTAATGTCCACAGAGAGTCAGGACCTCGGTTTTACGTCTCATCCGAAGTCCAGTTCAGTTTATTGCCGACGGCACCGGCACAGTGACACGCTCGCTGATGTCGGTGCTCCGAGACGGAGACAGGAAGGACACAGCCAGAGCATCAGCACAGAACAGCAGCAGCAGCAGCAGCACGTTAAATAACACACAACTTAAACAAAGCCCATCATTGTGCACCAGAGGTAGGGGTAGAGGAGCCTCTTTTACAGTAGAGTGTCCCCGTCACTATACTGGGGCATCAGGACCCACACAGACCGCAGGGTGAGCGCCCCCTACTGGCCCCACTAACACCTCTCCCAGCAGCAGCCTCAGCTTTCCCAGGAGTCTCCCCTCCAGGTACTGGCCAGGCTCACTCTGCTGAGCTCCAGTGCTGAGCTGCAGGGGGATACAACCGCTGACCTACAGGGGGTCTTCCCAAAGCCCTGCAGGTGGCGCCCCCTGGTGGTGGTCCTGTCATCCATCACCTTTTTTTTTCCTTTCCCGCACGAGACGCAGGGGGGTTGATGAACCCCCAGACGTTGTGAATCAAGCCCACCACTCAGACCCCCTCAGCGCTGCCAGGGGCTTTTCATCACATGAATCGCCAGATACACATCCGGAGCTGACCCCTCTAACACTTTGATTGCAACACAGGAGACGGGACCAAATAACTGGACACAGAGCTGTCCAGTGTCCACCTGTCTGTCTGTCTACCTGTCCCGGTATCTGTCGGTGTCTCTGTGTCCGTGTGTCCATCTGTCTCTGTGTCCGTGTCCATCTTCATTTCTGTCTGTCCACACGTTTGTGACTGCCGGTGTTACTCTCTCTGTCACCATCTCATTTT